ACTTTGCTTCAGGATGAGAACAGAAATCGCGTGGCGGTGGGAGGCCCCATTAGCTAAAGTGGTACCTCAGGTTAAGAACGGACCTCCGGAATGAATTAAGTTCTTAACCCGAGATACCACTGTAGCTGTGTTTGTCAACAGAGCCGATTTCCAGAGAGACATGGGGAGGAGACGAGAAAGAAAAAGGCAGGAACGCTTCGTGCAATCAATCCATTTGGCACAGCACGACCATCGATGATGGGGTTCTTTTCTGCAAAGAGCTGCCTCCGCCCTGATGAAAATGCCACCTGACAGGCCTGCCAATGTATCTGGGCAAAGCGAGGCTGCCCACTGTTACAAGAATGGAGTTGATTCATTGGTACTCCAGAGGAAGCAAGGGGCCTGAGGCTGCCTCTCTTTGAATGCTCTCATGTCTCTGAACCCCACAGAATTTTTTTGCCTGTAATTAGGAGACGATTTGACAATTGTCTGGGCAGCACATTAGGAAAAGGCAGCGTTTGGGTGGGCTTTTCTCTCTCTTATGTTTTAGATTGCAGCGCTAATTCTTTATACAAGAGCTTGCCAGCAAGGATGGGAGAGGTCAGTACTTCGCTTGGATCCTCTTTCTGAACAGTCATGAAACTTCTGTAGAAAGGACACAGCTTTCTGGATGCTGCCAGACTGACTCAGTGCTGAATGACAAATCCAGAACGAATGTAAGCAAGACATTGGCAAGCTCAGATGTTCCTCCACATAGTCCAGATCTGGCAGAATTCACTTTTGCAAACATAGTAGCTCAAATAATAACTTGGGCAGCGATTCTATATCCACTTACTGGGGAGTAAGCCCAGTAAGTTTACTTCTGAGTAGACGTGTATAAGGCTGGTTTGAGGGGTTGCTTCCACACTACTGGTTCTTTTGTCTGGAATTACTATCCTTCAGTTCGCTTGAATCTATTTTATTATTTTATTTTTATTTCATAAGATTGATACACACCTAATCAAAAAATATTTCAGTGTGGTTTACTAGGGCTGGCATATTTCAAAAAGTAAAAACCAGGACACCAAAGCACTGCCTTTTGAAATCCCAGTAATGTCCGGGAAAATCTGGATGTATGGCAGTTCTAGGTTTGTTATTTGTTATTGGCCTTTATTGGCATAAGTTTAAACAATAAAATCATACAAACTCAGCCAAATACATTAATAATCCAAACACATGCAATGACTAGATAGTCACCATTGAGTAAACCAGGCAACTTTAGATTTAGCTTTAAAAACCTTGGCTAAATACCCCAAAGCAATCTTGGTAGTTTTGGGAGTATCATTCCCTCAACAAATATTGGATTACAGACTCTTTGTAAATCAATATTTTAAGCTGCAAGGGAGTCACTATGAATCTCTGTGAAGGACTGGAGGGCAATCCAAAATTATGTGATGTTTTCTTATTACAGAAGCAGAATCTGTTCTGGAAGGGGATTTTTTTGAAACCTTCCAAACAATACAGATGAGGGGAATGCATTTAGACCAGCTAGGATAAAAGCTCTGCAGTGTGATGGAGTATCTAGATTATAAAAGTAATTAGGCATTACTCCATGGTGGAACTGCAATCCTAAGTAAGTAGATGAACATACAAAAGGCTGGGAGGGGTAGAGTTTTTGGATTTTATGGTCTAGCAGTCTCTGCTTGATGAGAGAGGAGATTTGTGACTCATCCAAAAAAGGGAATCTATTCCAATCCCTATTTCCTGAGTTTGAGGGTAATATCAGAAAACCATGTAAAATTATGTGTGTTTCTTAATAAAGTAGTTAGTAAACTGTCCAAGTCTGTATTAAAGTGAATTTTTAACCAGTATGTAAAAGTCATAATCCAGCCCCTAGATTCTAAGAGATGCTGGCCTAACTCTGAGCACATAGCCAAATAGGAGACACATTTTGGAGCTCTCCGAATATGTCGGAAGAAGGATGCCTGTACACCCTCAATTTTGTTGTTAAAGTCAGTTAACCATAAGGGAATCCCATAAAGGAGTTGCAAAACAGTTTTTCTGCTATAGGCCCTAACTGCTGCAGGCACATTCTGGTTACCATCGAGAAAACAGAATTGTTTAATTCGTGCTGCAGAGCAATTAGCTAAGTTGGTTATCTTATTGAAGGAAGGTGAGGACAGGTGACCTCACCTAGGCCCGAAGTCACTCCCCCCCCCCAAGCAGGCTCAAAGCTTCTCAAAGCTTTTCAAAATCATTTTCTCAGCAGCTAAGCATCAGAAACATTCCGCTCTGCTGTAACAAAGGTAGAGAACAGTCCATTGTTTCTCAGGCCTTTCTCATGCCTTCTGGCCTTGCTAAAGAACCACATTGCAACTTGCTTTCTGTCCGGGAACCATGCCAGAACAAGAGATTGAAACATATCTGAAAAAAAATGGGAAAAAATGGGAAAAAAATGGAAAAGGGGGGAAACCACCAAAGAGGAATTCAAACAAATAGCCAGCACCTGTAGACACAAAGTCAGAAAAGCTAAAGCACAGAATGAACTCAGGCTTGCTAGAGAGGTTAAAAGCAACAAAAAGGCTTTTATGGGTATGTCCGTAGCAAAAGGAAGAACAAAGAAACAGTGGGGTCACTCAGAGGAGAAGATGGTGAAATGCAAACAGGGGACACAGAAAGAGCTGAACTCCTCAATGCCTTCTTTGCCTCAGTCTTCTCCGATAAAGAAAACAATGCCCGACCTGAAGAATTTGGAGCAAATGATTCAGCAAAGGAAACACAGCCCAGAATAACTAAGGAGATAGTACAAGAATACTTGGCTAGTTTAGATGTATTCAAGTCTCCAGGGCCAGATGAACTGCATCCAAGAGTATTAAAAGAACTGGCAGATGTGATCTCAGAACCACTGGCAGTCATCTTTGAGAATTCCTGGAGAACAGGTGAAGTCCTGGCAGACTGGAGGAGGGCAAATGTTGTCCCTATTTTCAAAAAGGGGAAAAGAGAGGACCCAAATAATTACCGCCCAGTCAGTCTGACATCAATACCAGGGAAGATTCTGGAGCAGATCATTAAGCAAACAGTCTGTGAGCACCTAGAAAGGAATGCTGTGATCACCAATAGTCAGCATGGATTTCTGAAAAATAAGTCATGTCAGACTAACCTGATCTCGTTTTTGACAGAATTACAAGCCTGGTAGATGAAGGGAACGCAGTGGATGTAGCCTACCTTGATTTCAGCAAGGCATTTGACAAGGTGCCTCATGATATTCTTGTAAAGAAGCTGGTAAAATGTGGTCTTGACTATGCTACCACTCAGTGGATTTGTAACTGGCTGACTGACCGAACCCAAAGGGTGCTCATCAATGGTTCCTCTTCATCCTGGAGAAGAGTAACTAGTGGGGTGCCACAGGGTTCTGTCTTGGGCCCGGTCTTATTCAACATCTTTATCAACAACTTGGATGATGGACTCAAGGGCATCCTGATCAAATTTGCAGATGACACCAAATTGGGAGGGGTGGCTAACACCCCAGAGGACAGGATCACACTTCAAAACGACCTTGACAGATTAGAGAACTGGGCCAAAACAAACAAGATGAATTTTAACAGGGAGAAATGTAAAGTATTGCACTTGGGCAAAAAAAATGAGAGGCACAAATACAAGATGGGGGACACCTGGCTTGAGAGCAGTACATGTGAAAAGGATCTAGGAGTCTTGGTTGACCACAAACTTGACATGAGCAAACAGTGTGACACAGCAGCTAAAAAAGCCAATGCAATTCTGGGCTGCATCAATAGGAGTATAGCATCTAGATCAAGGGAAGTAATAGTGCCACTGTATTCTGCTCTGGTCAGACCTCACCTGGAGTACTGTGTCCAGTTCTGGGCACCACAGTTCAAGAAAGACATTGACAAACTGGAACGTGTCCAGAGGAGGGCAACCAAAATGGTCAAAGGCCTAGAAACGATGCCTTATGAGGAACGGCTAAGAGAGCTGGGCATGTTTAGCCTGGAGAAGAGGAGGTTAAGGGGTGATATGATAGCCATGTTCAAATATATAAAAGGATGTCACATAGACGAGGGAGAAAGGTTGTTTTCTGCTGCTCCAGAGAAGCGGACACGGAGCAATGGATCCAAACTACAAGAAAGAAGATTCCACCTAAACATTAGGAAGAACTTCCTGACAGTAAGAGCTGTTCGACAGTGGAATTTGCTGCCAAGGAGTGTGGTGGAGTCTTCTTCTTTGGAGGTCTTTAAGCAGAGGCTTGACAACCATATGTCAGGAGTGCTCTGATGGTGTTTCCTGCTTGGCAGGGGGTTGGACTCGATGGCCCTTGTGGTCTCTTCCAACTCTATGATTCTATGATTCTATGATTCTGAACATGCTGAAAACCCCTTGGCTTCTCACCCCCCCTTTCCTGGGAATAGTCCCAAGACAGCTTTCTGTTCATGCTCAGAGGAACTCATGGGGCAGGACTCTGGAAGGAGAAAGGAGGAGGGAACTGGAAAGGGGTATATATGCTTGTGCACAGGACTGTGAACTTCGTGCATGCTTTTTGTGACTTATCACACTTGCTCCTTCTACCAGTTCATGGATGGTAGAAATAAAACCTTTTTCTCCGAAACTATTCCTTGAGTGTCTGTTGACTCCCACTTCCCTTTCCCAGGCGCAATATTTTTCCCACCCGAGGGCAAAGCCTCATAAGGCTACACTATTACAATGGGTCACCCATTTTAGACTGTAATAAAAGGTGGTCCCTAAGTATTTAAAGCTTTTAACTTGCTTGATTTCTTTATCAGTGATACACCATTTAGATGGATGCCAACTCCTTGAAAATACCAAGATCTTGGGTTTTGAGTAATATGTTGTTTCATATCATCCAAAAATGGATTAAATAGATATGGAGCAAAACGTGTTCTCCTTCATGGAGAGCACGTGTTGCGGTGGGGTCTGCTGAGCCACCCCTCTGTTACCAGGCAGGGTCTCTAAAGATGGCCTGGGGCAGTGATTGGTTCACTGGGTTGCAATTTTGGTGGGGGGGGGTAAAATGTTTAAATACTCTGCACGCAGCCTGGAGCTTTCTCTTTGCTGCGTGCAACTGATCACCTGGAGCACTTGGACCGTCTGGAGGACAGTGGAGCGATCTTCTCATTGTCTCATTGTCTGGTTACATTTCTTTATTTTCCCCTTCTTTTTAATCTTCTCTGGTCCCTTAATTAATTTAATTCCCTTTTTTCCCCCCTGTTTGATTTCCCACCCCACCCCTTACCCTGCCCTTTGGGAAGATTCTCCCTGTACCTGTGAGCGCTGCCTGTGCATAATCCTCCTTGGCTTTTTAACTATGCTGTTTCTGAACAAGTTTATTTTCTTCAAGTTTGTTTTTCCCTGATAGTGGCGACTGCCATTTTAGAGACAAGCCATTGTGGCTTAGTGGCTAGAGTACAGGACTAGGACCTGGGAGACAGGGTTCATATCCCCCACTTAGCCATTGTTGTAACAAAGCAAAACAAGCTGCTCCTTTTGGACTATTTTGTTGCTGGGTAGTTTGGCCCATTTGTGATATTGCTCCCAAAAAGAACTTTGGGTTTCTTGAGGTGCTTCCCTCTAAAGGGCAAGCAGGGGTACCTGGACAGGCAGTGGGCTGCCTCGAGTTTGTTATCTCATTGGAAACATTTATGTCTGGCCTAGCAGGTTATCCTAGGGCTTGGCCCGCTTGGCCCTAGAATTTGATGGCCTCTGGCAGCATTTCTGGCCTGAATAGGGTCCCCATGTGGTGCACAAAGCATTGGTTTCACCTGTTCCTCACATTGTTTAGGTTTTTTCTTTTTGCAGACTATGACAGGGCCTTTGCAGATGCCTCCAGAGCTTGCTTCTCCTGCAGAGGATGACTTGCTGATGCCCCAGGTGCCTTCTTCCAGAAGGAAGCGTCTTCAGAGGCAGGAAAAAGCAGAGCAGGGATGATGCTTACACCTCCTTGCAGGTAAATCATCCCTGGGCTCTGATGATGATTCAGACATCACCTTGGACCTCTCCAGGGGTCAGGATGAGGCTGTTCTGGGTCTTTAGGGATCATCCTGGATAGCTCAGCTGGTCAGCGTATGGTGCCGGTAATGCCTAGGTTGCAGGATTGGTCCCTGTATGGGACAACTGCATGCTCCCTCATCACTCTACCCGGACACTGAGGTCCAGCGCCAAGGGCCTTTCTGGTGGTTCCCTCACTGTGAGAAGCCAAGTTACAGGGAACCAGGTGGAGGGCCTTCTCGGAAGTGGCACCCGCCCTGTGATACACCCTCCCACCAGATGTCTACTACCAGACTTTTAGAAGACATCTAAGGCAGCCCTGTTTAGGGAAGCTTTTAATGTTTGATGCATTACTGTATTTTAATATTTTGTTGGAAGCTGCCCAGTGTGGCTGGGGAAGCCCAGCCAGATGGGTGGGGTACAAATAGATGATGATGATGATGATGATGATGATGATGATGATGATTATATTGTGGGAGAGTGGACTAGATGATCCTCGGAGTCCCTTCCAACCCCACTATTCTATAAGTGGTAATTCACTATGATGGGAATGTTAGACGCAGGGCTGCCATCATCCCCTCAGCTCACTAGGATCGCAGGGACGGGGACATGTGGACCACTTGCGCAGCTCCACATTTCAAATGGAAATTCCCTGAGCAATAGAACCTGAAGCTGGTATGCAGGAAGCTGGCCTGGTGGCAGCTTTGTTGGGACTTCTTTAGGGTTTCTGGCCAGTGTTGGCCCTGTAAATTTACACATCATGGTGGCAACAGAAGGCAGGGCATCTTGCCCAAGCAGGGGCTGGCAAGCAATAACTCAATACCTCTCGTCCATATTTCCATAAAAATATCTCCCTTGAAAGCCTGGCTAAAAGGTTATCTAGATGGGTCAGTGGCTTTGTGCATGTGGGAAGGGTTTTTCCCAAGGTTTGGGATTCCTCTGGCTTTTCAGCCAGTGGCTCAGAATACAGCAACTCAAAAGCCAGTTAGAGAGCTACCTGTGGTAGCCAGAAAGAAGGTTAGGAAGCAGCTTGCATTGGGACGTATGGTGGGATCCCCTTGGTTCTCCTTCTAGTCCCGATTTTCATTTATCCCCATTGGGGATCGTCCCTAAGAAAGCCCCATATAATTCCATCTGATCCATATTTATCGCATCCCAAAGGCACCTCAGTGAATGATGCTATCCCTCTGGAATTGTTCCATGAAATATGCATCTTTGGATCAGGCAGTTGAGCTTACCAACAAATTGGAGGAGGTGCCTTGTTGGCATTATGCGATATTGAATCGGCTGTTAGGATGCTGCCGGTTCACCCTCAAGATTTTAAGTAGTTAGGCTTTAATTGGATGGTCCTTATATTGATAAGGCGATGCCAGTGGGTTGCTCAATAGGCTGTGCAGCACTTGAGTCCTTTAGCGCCTTTCTGGATTGAACATTGCGAGTCAAGACTCGTTTAACTGGGGGTATCGTTATGTGGATTATTTTACTGGCTGGTTCATGTGACACTAGCCACTGCTTAGGCTAACTGGACGCCCCTTTATTCCCTGAGGAACTGGGTGTTCTGTTGGCAGTGGAGGACAGTGGGTCCTACTGCCCCTTTTAACGTATTTGGGGGCTAGCTGGATACCGTTGCTCAAACATCTGCTTGCCTGTGGAAAAGCTGTTTGCCTTGAAGGACGTTATTCTTGTAATACTTCCTCTGAAGCAAGTGTTGCTTTGTCAGATCCTATCATTCCTAGGTCAGTTAAATTTTGCATGCAGGGTGGTTGCTCCAGGCTGCCCCTTCCATTCCTGCTTGGCCAGGTGGTCTCATGGCCCGGGGTTCCTTCATCATCATGTACAGTGGCCTTGAGCCTGGCAGGGCAAGGCAATCACATGTGACCTAACTTTTCTCGAGTTTTCCCCATTGTAGTGTCAGCACACATCTGGACTGAGGAGTTTAGGGACCGTCGGGTCTGTCTTGGTCTGATAACCAGGCAGTGTGAGAGTCCTGGCAAAACAGTCCTCATGCTCTGGCAGAGTCTTCGCACTGCTTAAGGTTTAATATTGCGTTTCTGCTCGCTTTATTTCGGGATCATCTAATGTTTTCGCTGTCGCTCTATCCCGTTTTTTCAGTTGGAGAGCTTCAGATCCTGGGCTCTGGATGCCCAGCTATAGCCGGATTTTTCTGGAGCTCCTGTGGCATTTGGCAACAATTAATAATTGTGGTTCGAGGACCCGACCCCCGCGATGTGAAATAAATACACAAGGACACGTGATATAAGGTTAATGGGCAAGAAAAGGCCACAACTTTATTGATTACAGCAGTGAAAAGGTATTGGCTTAGGCATTGGATGTCTAACACAAGGGGTTTATTCACCAGTAGGTGGAGCCTGTTGATGCTAATCCAACTATAGGCTCTCCCCTGATGTCACCGGGGTCGTGCCATGGCCTCCCGCCAAGCAGGCATCGGACAGAGTACACGACCGCCAGATTCCTTTAACGGAATACCCAAAAATTGAAGGCATAGGCGATGGCCACACCCAGCCCTTCGACACACCACAACACATTATTCCAATGCCTAACCGCCACCCGAGCCAATAAGGCTCGCCGCCAATACCCTCACGGCTGTAACCAATCCCTAATGCTGCTGATGACACTATCTAGCCAAATGTTGTTCCCCTGGTCAGAGGGAAGCGCCCCGTCATTCCGGTATAAGGCCCGGTCGCCGATCCGGATTTGGTCATGATAAATGACTCGGCCATTCATGAAGCGCACCCAACGGGCCACTGCCCGATTTACGAGTTTCCTGGTTTTTTCAATGGAGGCCGAGGAGAGGCTGGCACCGCCGCAAAAGGCTGCTGAACACGCCCCCTCGAAGGCACCTGGTTGGATGCCTGCCAAGGGGGCGTGGGCGCCAGCCAGGTGAGAGGAGGAGGCAAGGGGCTAATGCCCCCTGCTAGGGGTGGTGCTCGGGCTCCCGCCCACAACCACTCCCCTCTCTTCCAGGGAGGAGAGTCTTTATGAGGAGTAGTAGCTTACGTTTCCCCATCTGCTTTCAGGTCTTATGAGAAGGCCTGGACTGATTTCTTAAAATTTAGCTGGCAGTCCTCAGCCATTCAGAGGAACCTGCCCCCATCCTCTGAGCAGGACCTGCAGTAATTCGCCCACCTGCTGCAGATCGGATGCACTGTTAAAACTATCAGAATTCAGTCCGCTGCAATGTCTGCTAGAGTAAAGCTTTAATTTTTCAGAGACCCTTCTAAAAGTGTGTCTTGCACAGGGTCTCGGAAGGTTGGACTAGGCTCCAACCTTCACAGGACAGCAGGCAGGAAGCCGGTCAATCTTTGACCTATGCAGTATCCGCAACAAGTTAAGACTTGTCGGCTGGTTCAAGATCAAGACGAGACTTCTTTCAGTATTCCATTGTAATTTTGGTGTACTGAGGGTTGGGGAAATTGTGTTGGAGCCAGCACGGGGCTGAGAGTTTGGAGGCTTATTGCCTCAGGACTTTTCCTTATCTGCTTTGGAGCTTATCATAAGTGTCTGGAGCTCTAAGTGAGACCTAGTGAGCAGGGTTGCCACCATCAGGCTTCCAGTCACAGGTGAGGTGGGCCCTTGCCCTGTTATTGGATACCGGAAATATTTGGCTTTTCGTTCCCCTGGGGGCTGGCTCGATCCTAGTGCACAGAAATGGGTTCCGGTTCGACAGGCATCTAATTGCTCACGTCGTGCGCCAGTTATTGCAGCCTGCGGCTTGCCCACCGCTGAACACGCCTCATTCCTTCTGAATAGGTGCTGCTGCAAAGGCTGCGCACTGGGGCCTGTTAGTAGACAGGATTGTGAATACGGGTCATTGGAAGTCTGACGCTGACAAAGGTTATGTCAGGAAGCATCACCAATGATGCCTGTGCTGATGCCTGTCTGTTATTCCTTTTTTCATAGGAGCAGCTGTGCGCATTTGGATTGTCGGCCACAGCATCATGCACTGAGCTGGCAAGCACCCTGATGAGTCTGGACTGGGGGCGCCATCTTGGCCTTCCTGCCCATGTTTCTAGCTCCAGTCCGCATCTGGATTGTGGGGCACAGCATCGTTTACTGGGCTGGCATCAGAGCTAGGCAGTCTGGAAGGGGACTGGGTCTTGGCCTCCCGCAGCATGTGCAGGTGTTGTGGATGTCCAGGTGCAGAATGCAGTGGAGCGAATTCATCCCGCTAATTAAGCAGAGGGTGCTTTCGGATGCCCCCCCCCATGGCAATTGTGGTTCAGCTGGGCGAGAACGATGTGGCAACTTATGATTGCTTTACTTTGCGCTCCACGATTCAGAGAGACTTGGGGGAATTGGTGACCTTAATACCCACAGTTAAAATATTTTGGTCACAATTGCTGCAAAGGCGCAATTGGCACGGCATTTCTCGACCTGAGGCTGCTGAAAGGGCCAGGAAGCACATTAATTCCGCAGTGTGTAAAAAGGTGGCAGAATTGGGTGGGTTGGTTATTTCCCGCCCGGATATTACCTTCAAGGCTCTGGCCCTTTACCGCAATGATGGAGTACATCTCTCTGTACTGGGGAATGATGTTTGGTTGGATGCGGTAACTGCAATGTTGAAGGTTGGGTTGGGATTGTGAGTGGTTGGCGGAGAGTGTAAAGGGCTCGATTGGCGGTTAGGCATTGGTTATAAATTGGTGGAGGAGGGGTTAGGATAGGCTGGGCCTGCCCCTCCATTGTTGCTGCGGAAAGGGAATTCCGTTAAAGGAATCCTGGGGCTTGCCATCTTTTCGTCCAATCCCTGGAATGGGACTAGGGCCGGCAAGCCTTCGGGGAGCATGCGGATGAGAATTGAGGGTCTGTGACTCAGCTCCATTTCCCCCCGACTTGTTTTCCCGCACTGTCTTTCGGTGGTGCCCGGAAGTCAGTTCTGTCCCCAGGCGGGGGGACAGATAGTCTTAACCAATGCCTAAACAACTACTCACGGTTTTGTATTTAAATAAAGTTGTGGCCAAAATTATGCCAAAAACCTTAAACAAAAATTAAGTGTGCGTTGTGAGTTATTTGGGGGGTGGCTTGGGGACCTCGACACGCAAAGACTCCTTTAGTAGTTGTAAATCTAGGTGTCAAGTGGCCATCCGGGGAGATCTTCACCTGACAAATATTTTTTATCAAGAAAAGTAGTCGGGGGTTCTAGCCCAATAGCATTCAATTTCTCCCATAACAGCCCTCTAGGTATCGAGTCAAAAGCACTTTTCAGATCAATAAAATCCATGTATAACTTCCCCCTTTCGGATTTCATATATTTATCTGCTAGAAAAACAAGTGAGAGACAGTGATCAATAGTTTATTTCCGTTTTGTAAATCTGATCTGTTCAGGGCCATTAATTCTGTTCATTTTAATCCAGTCCAATAGATAGCACTATAAATGTTTAGAGTTTACTTGTAGTGGACAGAAGACTAAAAGGGCAATCATTACACGGCTGCTCAGAATTGCCTTTTTATAGATTGGGATTGTTACAGAAGTTAACCACGATTTTGGTATAATTCCATATTGGTCTATAAGAGTGGGAAGCTTAGCAAACGGTGATGGCTACCAATCTTCATACTTTTTAAAAAAGAATCTAAGCAGAAATCCCATCAGAGCCAGGGGCCTAACCATGTTTTAATTCTGCTATAAATTCCATCATTTTGTCTGTGCTTCCCAGGGGTAGGGGCAGTTTGGTATATTAGAGGGGACAGGCTCGTCAGCATTTGGGAGACAGCAGGGTGAGGCGTTGCATATTTTAAAATAGTAGTCCACCCAGGTTTGGGAACTCTAGGTTTACTAAATAATTAATCTACATGATGTTGTTAAATTGCAAAAAAAAATTAAAAAATGCTAAGGATATTTTTGCCCATTACAATATTTTTCTGTGAGTGACAGAAAATAGATAATACAGGATAAAAGGTCAGGGACTAATTCTGACCATAGAATTGGCACCTTGTTGGGAATGAACACTGCCATTAAAGGATAATTAAGCAATCTTATTCAATGAGCAATTAACCGGCTATTCCTCAGTAATCCCATGCTCAACAGGAGGCAATTGAGAGCAGACCCAGCAACACAAACCTTTTAATTAACATTGGAAATGACCCTTTGTTGAATGGGACTTATTTCTGCATAAGCCTTATAAATCTTCTATTTCAAAAAAACAATTTCTATATTTAAACACTATATTAATTCATCTTTCATTGGTTTGTGCAACAGCAGCTCTGAAAAAGCTTAAATGTGGAAGCAACCTTTTTCTGAGGCACCATTTTACGTGCATTTCGTAAAGCTCTGTGTAGCTAGGAGAAAGTATGACTAGCTACTGTATTCATGGAGAGTTATTGCTCTATGTTATATATTTATGCCATATCTTTTACCCTGTTTAACTTGGCAAAGAGATTAAGGATGTATATCATCTGATACAAAGCCTTTAAAAGCTTCAAGATATGTGAGGTGATTTATCTTCTCCAAACATTGTGAAGTACTTGCTAATAGACAAAGAGGATTGGGCTGATAAGAAAATTATGTTTATTGCCCATGCCATAGTGAAGCTATCATTCAGCATTAACTCATTTTCTTTATTCACAGTTTTTAAAAATGTGAAATATAACAGCGCAGTAAAAGAACATGTATTCCAGAACCTTTGGTTCATAATCAATTCAATCTTTCTTTTCCACAGCCCATCTAACCCGTTCTCATAAAACTGGAATTAACTTGTTCAATGTGTACAGAACTCACGGCCAGTCATCTGGATTATGGAAAACCGTTTCCTGAGAGAAATCTCGATCTCTTTACCATTTGAATGACTGCAGTGGGGAGAATGTTCTCTGAGGTAAATTTTAGTCCCCTTAGGGACTAAACACGGAAGGTGATGAGAGAATATTCTGCGAGGTAAATTTCTGTCCCTCCAGAGTTTGAGTTGTTCCAGTAGGAAGGGATGCTAGGAAAATATTCTGTGAGGTAAATTACATTCCACTTGGGGTTTGTGCTGTTCAAAGCACTCCAAACCCTTCTTAACAAGGAACTACAAGTGGGCTACATCACATTGGGAAAAAGGATGCCCATTATTTTGAGTTCACTGAGGGGGAAAAATACATATATATCTTTTTTTGTGTGTGGCAAATGGTGGGTCGTGTGCCTCTGAGGTCACTTGCAGACCTGTGGTGGGAAAGTTCATTTTGAAAGTAACTAGTTCTAGTTTAGGTTCATCCTGCCGAAATAGAAAAGAGTCTGTCCTTTTACAAAATGAACTCGATCAAGTTCATTTGCTTTCATTCATAGAAAACTTGTCCTCTGCATTTTTTCCAGCATTCAGAAGGTTACAAGCTGCTGAAGTACAGGGGCCAAAATAAATCAGGGGCCACACAAAAGTAATAAGATGCCTGACAGACAGGATGTCAGCTGTTGAAGCTGTCCCCATCATTGTATTTTTGTACTGGAAGAAGCTTGTCCTATTCTGTTTCTGCCTGCCAGGAAGTCAATGAATGGTGTAATAAAAGATATTTAATTTGTAATGTAAAATTTGAAAATTCAATAAAAATTACACACACACACAGATTAAGTGGTGTGAACAGATCACAATGAAAGTTGCATGGCTAAACTATGGAATTCCGTACCGTGTGGTGTTGTATTTGAATGGCTTTAAAAGGGGTTAAGACAATTTCATGGAGGATAAGCCTATCAATTGCTAATAGCCAAAATGCATATGTACTAACTCCAGTAAAGTTAAAGGACCCCTGGATGGTTAGGTCTAGTCAGAGGTGACTATGGGGTGCAGCACTCATCTCACTTTCAGGCCAAGGGAGCCGGCGTTTGTCCACAGACAGCTTTCCGGGTCATGTGGCCAGCATGACTAAACTGATTCTGGTGCAACGGGACACTGTGACGGAAGCCAGAGAGCACAGAAACGCCATTTACCTTCCCGCCACAGCGATACCTATTTATCTACTTGCGCTGGTGTGCTTTCGAACTGCTAGGTTGGCAGGAGCTGGGAGAGTGCAACGGGAGCTCACCCCGTCGTGGGGATTCGAACCGCCGACCTTCCGATCGGCAAGCCCAAGAGGCTCAGTGGTTTAGACCACAGCGCCACCCACGTCCCTAACTCCAGTACTTAACTTAAGTAGCAGAGAGGTGGTAGGCCTCTGAAAACCAGTTGCTGGCAATCACAATTATTTATTTATCAAATTTCTATATCACCCTTCATCCAAGGATCACAGGGCAGTTTACAATACGAATGGGGAGAGGGCTCTTCTGCTCATTTCCTGCTTGCAGGCTTCCCATAGGCATCTGGTTGGCCACTGTGAGAACAGGATGCTGGAGTGGAAGGGAGGCTCCATCAAGGGTCTTATTATGCTCTAGTAAAGGTAAAGGGACCCCTGACCGTTAGGTCCAGTCGTGACCGACTCTGGGGTTGCGGCGCTCATCTCACTTTATTGGCTGAGGGAGCCGGCATACAGCTTCTGGGTCATGTGGCCAGCATGACTAAGCCACTTCTGGCGAACCAGAGCAGCACACGGAAACGCCGTTTACCTTCCCGCCAGAGTGGTACCTATTTATCTACTTGCACTTTGATGTGCTTTCGAACTGCTAGGTTGGCAGGAGCAGGGACCGAGCAACGGGCGCTCACCCTGTCGCAGGGATTCAAACTGCCGACCTTCTGATCGGCAAGTCCTAGGCTCTGTGGTTTAACCCACAGTGCCACCCGTGTCCCATCTGCTCCATCAAAGCTCTTATTATGCTCTAGCTTTCTGTAATTAACAAAACACGGAGAAACGCTACAGTGTGTGTATGGGGGCGGGGTTGTATTCACATCTGCTACTTTTGCTATAAAAATGCAAGTGCCGCTTCATGTAAAACGGACCTTAATGACCCATCCCAGAAATAATTTTTAATTTTTCCAACATCACCCAGCAGCAAGATGGTGGCTTTTTGACTCCTCGAGAACGATGGGATGCGTCGTCTTAAAATAAAAATGAAATAAACATTGTCCTTCCTCTTCTGCTACCACCCAGAATTCAAATCTTACAGCTGCTTCTCACCAAAGAAAACTGACCTGGCAACACTCAAACAAAAAGACTATACACAGCAGGCAACTGAAAGGAGGATATTGATAGAGCTGTTATCGCCATAGTGAAGTGTTTAAGAGGAAATGAATGCAATGGAACAGCTGCTCCGCTTTCCTCTTCTCCTTGGGACTGAGTGCCCATAACTTATTCACAAGCTAAAACCGGTTGCCTTTCTCTGCCTTGAGTGCCAGTAAGAATGGAAAGTGTGATTTCGCTGACCTGGCTCTCATTTACTGGGCTTTCGTGAGTTGTGCTCTCCCTAACCCAAGCCAGGCAGAAAGTGAGGAGGAATTAAAGAACCTTTTAATGAGGGTGAAAGAGGAGAGCGCAAAATATGGTCTGATACTCAACATAAAAAAAAAAAGATCATGGCCACTGGTCCCATCACCTCCTGGCAAATAGAAGGGGAAGAAATGGAGGCAGTGAGAGATTTTACTTTCTTGGGCTCCATGATCACTGCAGATGGTGACAGCAGCCACGAAATTAAAAGACACCTGCTTCTTGGGAGAAAAGCAATGACAAACCTAGACAGCGTCTTAAAAAGCAGAGACATCACCTTGCCAACAAAGGTCCGTATAGTTAAAGCTATGGTTTTCCCAGTAGTGATGTATGGAAGTGAGAGCTGGACCATAAAGAAGGCTGATTGCCGAAAAATTGATGCTTTTGAATTATGGTGCTGGAGGAGACTCTTGAGAGTCCCATGGACTGCAAGAAGGTCAAACCTATCCATTCTGAAGGAAATCAGCCCTGAGTGCTCACTGGAAAGACAGATCGTGAAACTGAGGCTCCAATACTTTGGCCACCTCATGAGAAGAGAAGGCTCCCTAGAAAAGACCCTGATGTTGGGAAAGATGGAGGGCACAAGGAGAAGGGGACGACAGAGGACGAGATGGTTGGACAGTGTTCTTGAAGCTACCAGCATGAGTTTGACCAAACTGCGGGAGGCAGTGGAAGACAGGAGTGCCTGGTATGCTCTGGTCCATGGGGTCACAAAGAGTCAGACACGACTAAATGACTAAACAACAACAAACCCAAGCCAGCTCATGTCTCCAGCCATGTATGGCTTGATAAACCTCTTGTTTTAACTCAAGTTGGGCTGCATATCTCTCCTACACTCTTTCACAGGTGATGTCACTGGTGAGTGTAAGAGAGCAATAGACCCCATCTTCTACTGGGCTGGAAAGAGACACAAAGGCTTGTGTTGAATCCAAAGCTATGGCTTTGGGGGAGCATCTAGAAACCAAATAGGGGAGGAAGATCTGTGGCAGTCTTCATGCTTTCAGACCTCTATCTTATGCTTATGTTTGTGTAAACAGAACTATTTATCACAAAGACAACCCTGTCTCCTGTGACCTTCATTCTAAGGAAACCAAACCCAAGGTATGTGTTGGGAAATCTCATGGCACACAAAGATTGGGACATGTGTAACAGTAACAAAAATAAAAAGTTTATGAAATATCCATTGAATATTTTGTATCTCTACAAAATTCAAACTTCTTATTAATGGGTCCCAATGAGTTTCAGATTAATCTTCTTTGTCAGGGCTTACATATCAGGTGGCACTTTTGCTACAGCTACCCCTACTGGATGGGAGGGCTCTCTGTCATGAGATAGGGCTTGTACTATCTCAGTTTTCATACATCTATGTGAAAGAGCGCATAAAAATGTAATTACTCTGGGAAGGCTAGTTTTATTAGGTTTGCCTTTTTTAAAAAAGGCACATCTGGAAACCCTGAGTGCTTAGGAGTTCATTTCTATTCTATCCTTAACTTTCCTTTAGTAAGATTTAAGGATATCCCTCAAGAAACCATTCCTTCTTCTATTAGAGGGCTTATTTTTGGCAAGAGTTTCCTTCCAGATATATGTATTTAGGTACATGTGGGAAACTATGTATAGTCATAAAGCAGCTATATCCCTTCAATCCTTAAACGGGGTTAACATAGGACATAAGTGGTCTGCTGGACTGGTGCCAGTTCAGTTCCCATCAACTTCAAAGCGAACATTTCCATTAGTTTAAGTAGGATTTGGATAAGACTTTGAGGACACACAACCCTCGTGGTTGCCTCCATCTCAGGGTTAAATGTGGTGCTTAAACGGTAGTCATTCCGCAAAGGGCTGAGTACAACTATTCGCAACAAGAAGCAAAGGCTCATCTTCATTCAAACCAGACAACCTATTCAGTGCAATGCCCTCTGCAGAAATCCCTTTCTTCCATCCTTGATTTTACTGTAGTCCCTGTGAAACGCCGATACTTAAAGCAATGAGCAAGTGGGAAGGTCATTTTGGCTTCCTGGTTGCAAGTTTGTTTGGTCCAATCTCCTTTTCCCCCTACCTCACCCCACTCCACCTTTCAGTGTAATTGCTCTCATATTTTGTCTACTTCCAGAAGTCTCCATCCATTTTAATCATGTTGATTATATAATGAGTATCATGTGGAATTCAATTCCAGACAGATGTGAGGTCATGTTTGAATTAATGGAGTGGTTTTAATGGAAGAGAGGGTCCACTTTTGCTACCTGAGAAGCAAAATAAAGGTTTACGGGCAGCTGCTGGGGACCCTGAGGTCCCTCCTGGCTTGGGTCTTGGTTGGTAGATGCTATCTACCAGAATGAATGACGTGGATGACTGAATGAAGGCTCCACCCCTTTGCCTGTAGAAGCTGGGGAAGGAAAGTCCATCCCACTGGCTATGTGTCCTGCCCCACCCATGGAACAGAGATTCCCTACCATTGAAGGAAGGGCCTCGACCAGCCAGGAGGGAAGATTGGACAGATGGAGTCAGTGGTGGGTGGGAGGGTCATGACTGTTTGTTGAGACACCTTCGCAGCTTTCGTTCAGTCTCAGATGTACTCCAAGAAGCAATGAAATAGCATTGACTTGTTTGTTATCTCACTCCATATTCCTATGGAGAAATCTGCCAATCGATACACACGGATGAGATTTGAGACATGTAAACATTTCCAAAGATATCTTTGCTCATTGAGTTTTGTGGACGGCAAAACTGTGTGCCTGTGAGTGACAAGGATGAACTTCCATGCTATTCCACGATAAAATTGGATCTGCAAATTTAGAGCTCTGTAGCTTAGAGTTAAGAATCTTCTACAATGCATGGAGCCAGATAGACCTCCACTGGCCAAACACCTGCAGGGCTACGTGTCACATAAATTATTTCCATAAAACTCATCCGTAAAACACATCTTTGCATGTGTCCAGGCACACACACACAAAAGTAATACCATGCATGTAGCTGGACATAGTGATTAATTACACTGGTCAACAACAAATTTGTTGTCTGCATTTTTTCAGCTGATTTAGGACGAATCTGATGTGCTGAATCCAAAAATCACATTGGTTTTGCTCAATCAGGTCAAGTTTTTGAGTTATGGCCACATGTCATTTTTTTACATTTTTGTTCACATGTACGCTTGTGTGGAGCATTTTAGAAGAAGTTGGTGGG